ATCTCTCCCGCTCTACAAGCGCCTCCTGCTGGCAGAGAATGAATTTGCATATATATGTCGCCACAAATAGAGTGCAAGTCTGTGGGAAACACCAATGAAATGAATACTGTTATTAGAGTAGTTAATTGTTAGCATAAGCGCGGTTAACGCTAATATAATGAGCATTAGAATGAAGTTTCTTTATTAACTATTTAATGCTCCTATAACTTTTATTAGGGTAAAAAAAAACAGGAGGACATGATTCTATTAGTACATGATACTATTTTTACACATCAGAGGCTTTTAAATGAATTGTGAATCTAAAAAATGCGTGTTAGAGAATGTACAAATGGTTAACATTGTTTGTGTCATATCAGTCAGAAAAGCAGTTCTGGGCTTTTTTATTTCATTTTTTTTTTTTAGCCAACTTAGTTGTTATTCTTGGCTGAATAACTCTAGAAGGCTTTCAAAAGCCCTTTAAAATTAAATATGTACACAGTTTGGATTAAATGAAAGTATAGTCAAATTTTTTAATTACCATGTTTTTGTGTTTTGCTTTGGTACCGAAATTGGTACAGAGAACCGTGGATTTTCCACTAGTATTGGTACCGAAAACTGAAATTTTGGTACCGTGACAACACTACAGCACAGTGACTTTTTCCATACAGTACACTTGATGTTATATAATTTTCTAAAAATATAATGCATGAAACGTGTGACTTTTTGCGATTTCATTTGAAGGGTCACTTCTATGCATTCACAGGTATCGGTTTAAAGAGATTTTTCACCCACAAATGAAAATTATTTCACCAAACAGTTGATGGTAGCCATTGACTGCCAACTGTTTGGTTATCAACATACTTCAAAATATCTTATTTTGTGTTCAACAGAAGAAAGAAATTCATACAGGTTAAAATTATTTCACCAAACAGTTGATGGTTGGTTATCAACATACTTCAAAATATCTTCTTTTGTGTTCAACAGAAGAAAGAAATTCATACAGGTTTGGAACAACTTGAAGGTAAGTAAATGACCATTTTCATTTTTGGGTGAACTATCCCTTTAAGATCTGATTACATTCAGTGTTAACCTGCAAAAATACAGAAAATCACAGCATTGTATCTGGCGAAATCTATTCGATAGCATTCATATACTATATACAGTATATACAGTGAACCATTTGAAATCTGCCATATTTATTCATAGGCATTCTAAGCATGCATATAATTTATTTACGCCCAAATGGTAAAAAAAACACGCTAACTTGATATTTCCTACTGAAACAAAGTTTGGATGGGATTTTAGCTTTTTTATGCCAATAACCTTCAGTTATATCACTGCTGTGAGCTATGATTTGCTGCTTGTTATTGCTTGTCAGAGGCGGGTGGAACATTCATTAGAACATTTTATTGAACAAAAATGTGAAACCACTGTGAACAAGAGTCATCATCAATATTTTCAGTCTGTGAAGAGAAAAACTGTCAATTTTAAAACAGCATATCTGTTATGCTAGCATATAGACAGAGACATCCTCAATGCTAACAAACATCGACTAAAATCCACAAAACTGCATTCTGTTTCTGTGAAGCCTGTAAGAGAGCAGAATTGATTTGCGGCACTGGCTGACTTCACCTTCACCTTCACCTGACTCATCTTTTTCTTATTAAAAACTGTACCACCTCAGCACACTTTTTTCCCAACCTGAATGATTCACTCTTGCCTAGTTTTGGACTTTCCATCTATTCCTGGATTTGCACCTGACATTTCACTCTTGCATTCAAGAAAGACTTCACACTGACTGGTAGTGTGGTTATGATGCTGGAATATCTGACTGATGAAATACTTAATAAAAAATATCAATGTTTAGTACCATCGATACCATGAGGAAAAAATGCCACAACATGTTAACAAGTTAATTTACTTTTGCCCATAGTCAAACTATTTTATCAACTAAAACTGAGGGGGCATTTACATGACAAAATTTTCAACTAAAAAAATCTTGTGTTTTTTCCATTCATTTGCAAAACAACAGCATTTAGGGGGCCTGAAAAACTTTTGAATTTGTGTTTCGAAGTCCATGTTTTTGAAAATGTTATGATCTCCATGTAACCTACAATAATGCAAATTTGTGAAAACTGTGACATCTGTACGTGAAACTTCAAAAAAAACAAGGAAAAACTTTTTAGTATAATGATGTAATGTAGGGCTGCCCCCTAATAGTCGACCAGAAGAGGCTTGGTTGACCAAAATTTTATTAGTCGCTTAGTCACAGAAAATAAATAAAT